GGGCGCTGCATGATTCTGCCGCCACTGATGTGCCTTCTCCCTAACAACCCTCGCTTTGCACCTGCCGCGTGGGTGCCCACGGGTGCTGGTGTGGCAGCCGCGCGCACGTGGACACAGGTGTTCACCAACCAGGACAGGCCACGTCAGCGTCCCACTTACAGTCAGGACGTCATAGTAGTCTTCATTTTCTTTACGCTGCTGGAAGATATACTCCACTCCGAGGAAGACGTCTCCCAGGTTATAGTCATCTGGAAGGTCAGGCTGGGGAATTTCACCTGCTTTCAGATTCTGAAGACGAGGAAATACAGATTTGGAGAACAGCACATCAGTGACATCAGAAACTGGACCACAGGCTGACAGATATCATTTCGGAAAACTTCATCTCCTTGGAAGCTGACAAGAGACAAGCTTGCCTCAGGGCGGACAAGAGCTCGCTCCCTGACTGCCAAGCCGCGTCCTCACATATTGTCCCCCGAAGCGGGGGTGGCAGTGGGGGTCTATGGGATTGGAATGGCACCCAGACACTGCACATAAGTGACACACGGCAGCTTAAGATGTTTCCACCTTGTCAAATGAATCACTGTCCATTTGATCATCCTTCCCAGCATGGAATCCCATGGATTCACAACTAAAGCATCACATCTACTCAGTTAAAGCTCTGTGTTCTTTCTGCTTGGTATTCTGCCCTCAACAACAGTCTTCATGAAGACCATCCCATGCTGTTGGGAAGACACAGTAGCCAGCCACCCACAGCTGGGGACTTAGGGTGCCTGCGTTTTTTCTTCCACTTACAGAAAATAACAGGTGAACCTTTTTATACATTTATCCTTTTTTCCTTCATTTTTGTAGGTGTGATGTTAAAGCGGTTTTTATACAGTAAAACCTGCGAAAACCAGAACCTCTATAAGACGGGAACCTGTCAGAGGAGAAAACCCTAAATGTTCTCCACTAATGGAGAGTAATAGAAAAGCAGTAAGACTGCGCCCTGTCAAAGGCGGAACGCTTGCTAGACCCAGAAAAACAAAGCAGCCCTGTCAAGTTCTGGCTCTCACAGGTTTCATTGTGTAGATTTTAAACAGTCTTGAGCCAAACTGCTTTCCAAGAAGGCTGCTCCCATTCCTGCTGCCGCCAACAACCTGTGAGGCCCTGGCTGAGTCATTTACATAAAGTAGACGGTAACCCGACAGGGTCACTAGGAGTTGGAATCAACTTGACAGGCACACGGTAACAATAACAACCTGATAGCTGTCACATCTTACTTGTTGAAAACATTTACCCTAGTCTATCATTTTCACTGCTGTTCTAAGTTTTCAATCATACCTAGTTGTTACGGAGTTACCCTTAAAATTGTGGAAATACTTTACCTGTTTTTTTTATCTCTTTTTAAATTTATGGATAATATTAAAGAGCAAAGAGATGGAATTCATCACCTTTTCTCTTCCTGTCCCCAGGGGCTGAAATGTTAGCTCCGGGTGTGGGGCGTCAACTAATGGGAGGTGATCATACCGTTCTGTTCACTTTTGTGTATATTTGAAAAATTTCAAAATAAAAAATTAAAAAATCACATCTATGATATTAAAATTGCTCTGAGATTAACAATTTTAAAGCAAAATATCATTCAGGCTTAGAAACTTACTCGGGAAGGTAGGATAGACAAGAGAAGCCAAATATTTTGTACCTCATGAAACGGAAAAGCAAGCACATCGGTGGGGACATTTTTCTCTCTGTAGATTCTATTAATGTGCTGAATATTCTTGTTGTCAACACAGATGACGCCCAGGTCAAACTTCTGCACGCCTAAGATGCTCCTCACGATCTCAATCTTCTTGCGCAGGGGGACTCTCCTGATGGGGACAACGCGCTGCAGATTTCGAAGTACCAAACTCATCTCAAGAACAAC